TACCACCACTACTACTACTACTACTACTACTACTACTACTTCTACTACTACTACTACTACCACTACTACTACTACTACTATTACTACTACTACTACTGCTGCTACTACTGCTACTGCTGCTGCTGCTGCTGCTGCTACTACTACTTGTGATATAATACATCAGCCCTGAAACAATCCATTGTCACTCTAAATTAGCTATAAAAACAAATTATAAACTTACCTTTATACACAACTCCATTAACAGTCAGCGACATGCTACCTTGGACATCGGCCTTTGTTATCGACTCCATGTCGTCAGACTCGAGATCAGACTGACAACTGCAGAGTTGCAAGTTGTGTCATAAGTCGAATATAGAGGTAAACAGTTCTCGTTTCGTCCAATACTTGACCTCACGCCTTGCAAGCTGTGTCACTCACGAGCCGGTATCGGTTCTGGTCGTATAAGATAAGATGAGATAATATAAGACACATCTTTATAGTCCAGATCCTGGCACATTGGTGTAGTGTTTCACCACGTGTACACACACACACACACACACACACACACACACACACGCGCGCAAACATGCACACACACGCAGGCTTACAATCACATGTATAATATAAATGAGCATCAATAGAAACAATAATAATCTTAAACTAGACAGATCTACATACTCAATGTTATTCTGATGCATGCTCTAAGGTTCTATATGAATACTTATACTTATACAAGATGGTAAATATGGAAGAATTTTGATGCATGACGGTAAGAGTGACCTTCTGTATCTTTCATCTAGTATCATAGGACACTTGACCTTTCTTGACCCTCCAGATCTCTCTGGTCAAATCAGAATCACTGTCTGCTCTCGGCTCTCGTCGCCTAGAGAGCTGGGCGAAGAATTAATTCCGGGGATGATTCCCGCGGTTAGCGCCATTGAGGAAAGTTCAGATTCCTTTTATGTAAACCAAAGGTTATCAATTGCTTTATTCATTAAAATCTTCTCTATAAAAGAATTTTTTAAAAGTTGCTGCCTCCCAGTATTCCAAAATTAAGGTTATTCTAAATCCTGAATTTGTTCGGAGCCAACCAGGTAACCATCGGAAGAAAGCACATTGTCATCATTAGAAAGTAGGAAAGTCATTGGATTCGGAGTCGAGTCCTACGATTGCTAGATTTCAATACCCGGTAATCGGGAACCTTACTGCCCACCACTACCGTCGCGTCTCTGCAGTGGGTGCGCTATTGATGCGTAAGGCCTGCAGCTTTCCCGCTTTCTACTCAGTCCACTACCAGCTACTATATGCACACTCTCTTCTGCTTGACTATCTAACGGTCAACAGCGCGGCACTGTAGTTATCTGGTTATCTCAGCAGCTGTGACCTGTGAAATTCATCAACCTCGATGTAATAATAATTTAATCTGACACTGACATTCTTTACATTTTAATTAGTTCGGTTTGTTTGTTGTGTTTGTTTGTATGTTTATTTGTTGATAATTTGTTTTTGTATTTGAAGACTACAGGGGAAAAACGACGGTAGTCACAAGCTTTTCAGCCGAGGGTACCAATTTTGACTCAACTGTATTTCTGTTCGACTGTTGGTTGATTAGTGTTCTTAGATTTTCCATTCAACAACACTTAACAATGAACCACGAGTTAAACAAATATATATATATATGAAGCTGTGAGTCCACAAGCTTTTCAAACTGGCACCCTCACAATGTCCAGTTTGTGACTACCGTCGTTTTTCTCCTGTGCTCTTCGTTTCTTTTTTTTTTTTGGGGGGGGGGGATTCTTCATTGATTTTATTTACTTTTGAAGACTGAGTGTTCTACGCTCCAGTCGACAAAACGTCTATAATTTAGGAGTCTGGATGCTGCTATGACCCTTCCTATCCAGACCAATCCAGTCGGTGTGGGATACCAAGTCTCAGCCGAAAAACGGACTCACTAAATAGAATAATAATTATTATTAACATCTTCACCCCCTTGGAATCAAACTCACACGTCATCTGGCGTTCAAGGGGAAAACTAATCATTACCCTCCCAAACAGTGGGTGGTTGGTGGGTGCTGTTCTGATTTTGTTTGCACCTTCTTTCCTGTCAATCATCTGATATATTGTCCTCC